GAGCCGAAGGCAGTCGCTTAACCAACTGAGCCACCCAGGAGCCCCAAGTGAAGGCCTTTTTAAATCCATCTCCCAATTCCAGAGAGGAAAGCCAGCTCAGTCATTAGTAATTCTCCCTGCCCCAGCTTCACCGACAAGGATCCATCTCCTCCCACTTCCCACAATTCTTCTCCCATCCCAGCTCTATGCTCTCACTTGTCTTGGGCAGAAGTAAGCCTGAGAAGGACACAGGGGAAGGTCTCTGGGGTCACTGACCTTAATCGGTTCCACGAAGACCTCATGCTTTCACCTCTGCTACTTTTGTGTGCTGCAACCTGAACTGGAATGTCACCATTCCTGCCCTGGCTTAGAAGACTCTTTTTCTGGACTTTCACAGGAATAGGAGAAGTCCCTTCTGGAAACTTCTTACACTGAACTCTAATGGTCTAGTCATTTTTTTGGTATCTTATACCAAATTGTATTCTCTGTAAGAGTAGAAGCAAAGTTTACACTGTTCACCAATCTAATCCCCAAATCTAGTACCATATGTTTAGTGACATCCTAGGCATACAATACATTCTTGTAGTGTTAACTAAATGAAAGGCATTGCACAATTGTGCAATTATAATGTTGAGACTCTAAGAAATTTCCTTTCAAAACCCTCAAAAATGGTTATTTGAGGTTATGTACTGGAAGGGGACAGAGCTATTACTACAAGCTCGTCATGCTAATCATTATTACTCTGCTAATAAATTACAAAGTAGATTAAAAAGCTGAACTCTGAGGAAGGTTCCAAGGGAATGTAGATTTATGATGAGACTACTTCATTTCAGACCAAATGAGAAGGGAACATGTTCCTAAAATCCAACTATGTGTCAAAAAATGTAGAAGATGTATTCATACAGGAATAATTCTTAAGAGAAATAACGCTTTCATTACAAAGCAGAGCAGAAGCCTGAGAAGTTTGAGCTGATCTATGCAACCAGAAAAGAACCTGGGGATCTGTTATAGGAAGTGTGATTGTTATCTGCAAACTATATATCAAAGAGAATTGCCAGGACAAGGTTGTATGGTAAGAAGAATTACCTGTGTCCACACAAAGATATAAGATGAAAAAAAAAATTCTAGAAGGTATTATCATATCAGCAAAGATAACTACATCTCTCAGAGTTTGAAGTCTTTTCAAAAGACAAAATGAGAGGAAAATAATATCTGGTAAACTGGTCAACCTAGACATGTGTGAACCAATTATATTCTTTATTTTCATTTTGTTTATTTAAGGAAGTAGCTTTTAAAAGGGTTTATCCAGAATGGAGCAGACCTTAGGCAGCTTGGGAAGGTGGCTAGTCCAACCTTTTTGTAAACAAGTGGATTCGACTAGAAAACCACAATTAAATAGATGGGAATTGGATCCCTGCTCTGCTACTCTGTGACTATATGACTTGGAAAGCTATTTAGCTTCTCTGAGCCCTACACTCCACATTCAAAAACTGATCCAATTTATTTGACATGCAGGGCTATGTGATGATGTAAAATGGGTTTAAAGGGCTCTCACAGTACCTGGCATATTATAAATACTCAGTGAATGGTTATTGTTATTTATCTGTCCTCAGATTCAGAAAACAGTCTGCTTCTGCTGACCCAGTTTCATGGTATCTGGTTGGAAATCTAGGATCCCTACTGGAAAG